GGTGGGGATGGATCCCGGAGTTCCCTGCCCGTGGGCGATGCTGGGAACGATTCCCGAGTTACATCTGGCAGGGATGCTGGGGGTGGATTGCAGAGCTGCCTGCCAGCCCTGTCTCCTGGGCACATCCCAGCACTCCCCACACTGATCCGTGTGCTCTCCCGTTCCCTCCCAGCTCGCTTTGGCAATAGCTGACCTCGCCCTGCAGATGGCTTCGTGGAAGGGCTGTGTGCAGACCCTGGTGGAGAAGTGAGTGCCTGTTCCTGTCTCCTGGGGATTGTTCCGTGGGCTGTGGCAGGCAGCTGGTCCCGTGTGGGGCAGCGCAGGGAGGTTTTTCTCCCATAATCTGTGATTTTAGGTGCCCTGGGTGGTGGCAGGAGGGGCTGTCTGCTCACAGCCCAGCACTCAGCGCTTTTCCTCATCCCTGTTTTGTTAGGGATGATCCCTCTTCTCTCAGCTCTATCTGTGCTGTGGAATGGAGCAGCGAGGCTGGAGCTGGCCACAGTTTGGTGTCCCCAGATGTCCCCACGGGATGGCACACGCTGCTGCACAGTGACAGCAGCAGCCCCTGGGGCCGGCCCCGTGTCCATTGGCAGCAGGAGGGGACGGGATTTGTCCAGGCAGTGGCACCCGGACTCCCAGAGCTCACGGGCTGGGAAAGCTTCTGTCACTGCTCTGTTGGAAGTCCCTGGGCTGAGCAATCCTGGAGGCTGCTGTTGCCAGGGCTGTGGCTGGGCACTGCTGTCCTTGAGGCAGGACTCCAGTCCCTGCAATATGCAACCATGGGATGCTTGGGGTGGGAAGGGACCTTAAAGCCCCCCAATCCCAGGCCCTGCCGTGGTGGGGGATGCCCCTCCAGCCCCGACTGTGCCGTGCCCAGTGCTGAGGTGTCCCTGTCGCTGGTGCAGGTACAGCAATGACGTGACATCACTGCCCTTCCTGCTGGAGATCCTGACGGTGCTGCCCGAGGAGGTGCACAGCCGCTCGCTGCGCATCGGCGCCAACCGCCGCACCGAGATCATCGAGGACCTGGCCTACTACTCCAGCACCGTGGTGTCCCTGCTGGTGAGCAGGGCTGGGCTGGGCAGAGCCTCCCGCTGGCCTTGGGCTGCCTCTGCCCAGCTCACGGGATCCTGGCATTGCTTGGGCTGGAAAAGCCCTCGGAGCCCACGTGTCCAACCACCGCCCAGCACTGACCTGTTCCCAAGTGCCACATCCACACGGCTCTGAAATCCCTCCAGGCATGGGCACTCCACCCCTGCCCTGGGCAGCTGGGCCAGGGATGGACAGCCCTTTCCAGGAAGGAATTTTTCCAGTATCCAACCTGAGCCTCCCTGGCACAGCTCGAGGCTGCTTCCCCTTATTCTGCATCAGGAGATGGAGCTGAGTTGTGTCCTCTGCTCAGAGCTCAGGTGTTGCTGGAGAAGCCTCTTCCCCCATTCCATGTTTGCCCTGGTGGATTTCCCTGCTAGTGCCACTGCAGCTGCCACCCTTCCCAGTTCCACTTGTTCCTAGGATAAGTTGTCTGAGCAAGTCCTTGCTCACTCTGAAATTCCTTCACCTTCCTCGAGTCCTCATCCAGTGCCACCCTGCCCAGCCAGCCCCAGCTTTTCCCAGGATCCCTGGGAGATCCTGGCTGGCACTGGGGACATAGGCAGTGTCACCTCGCTCTGGTGCTCACGGTCACTTAGAGCTGAGACGGGATCACCAAGGGCTGGCCCTGTCCCTGCACATTCCTACTCCCTCTGCACCTGCCTGAATCTCTCCTGAGCTTTCCCTGTTGGTGCCAGCATGGGCATTTCCACCACCTACCCAAAGAGCCAAATTTATATTTTCTGTGTGGGATTTAAATGCCAAATTCTCATTTTCAGTTACAAAATGGGGGGTTAAAGCATCATTCCAGGGACTGCGATGAGGTTCAACATTCTGCCTGTAGGGCTGAAGTGTCAAGTGAGGAGAGACCATCTCTGTGAGCTCTCGTGCAAGGATTCCTGGGCCAGTCCAGGGGGGTCTGGGATCTTTCTCCATGTCCTGCCTGTCCACCTCTTCCCCCTTTCCCTGTGTCTGTGGAGGCCGGGGCTTTGGGCAGGGCTCTGCTGGAGCATTGGCCAGCACTGGGAACGAGCTGCTGTCATCCCACTGCTCAGCACATCCTGGCTTGGACACTGGGGTGGCACGTTTGGAATGTCCCTGGGACAGGTCTGGCTCTCAGCACCAGCCTCCCTCTGCAGAGATGGTTTGTGGGGAGAAGGATTGAACTGGGGTTTGTAGGTGTGAACATCCCTGGTGGCTGTGCTCTGCTGGCTCCTGCAGGAGTGGCACTGAGGGAGGCACTCCAGCTGCTCGTGCTGCTCCTGTGACAGCAGCTGGAGCTGGCACAGAGAGTCTGGGCTCTGTCCCTCCCTCTCACTCAGTGCAGGGCTGTTGGTGACAGGGGCCTTGGGAGCAGCCTGCTTCTGGAATGTTCTCATGGACTCCAGAGGATGTTACTGGTTATTCCTCACGGATCACCTGCTGGAGTCAGATCCTCACCAGCTCTCCCCTGTCCCCGCAGGTGACGTGTGTGGAGAAGGCAGGCAACGAGGAGAAGATGCTCATCAAAATCTTCCGGTGCCTGGGCAGCTGGTTCAACCTGGGTGTCCTGGACAGCACCTTCATGGCCAACAGCAAGCTGCTGTCCCTCCTCTTCGAGGTGCTGGTGAGTGTTTCCCAGGAAGCAGGGGGGTTCCAGGCTGGGGGCACTGAGGGATCCCAGCAGGATTGAGGTGTAGGGCAGGGGTTCATCCCTCCTGTGTCAGGCAGGGACTCTCTGGTTCCCTCTGGGCTGGGATCAGCTCCATGGAGCGAGCAGTCCCTCCCTGCTGGGAGCTGAGTTGGGGAAGTGCTGCTGCCCACGGGGTGCCAGGTGATCCCTCCCTGCTGGGAGCTGAGTTGGGGAAGTGCTGCTGCCCACGGGGTGCCAGGTGAGGTTTGTCACACCCACGGGGTGCCAGGTGAGGTTTGTCACACCCAGGGGGTTTCGGGTGAGGTTTGTCACACCCAGAGGTGCCAGCTGAGTTTTGTCATCCTCATGGCTGGGCATCAGAAGCCTCTGTTGGGGTTTGATGGTCAAATCAAGGGGTGCTAGGTTATTGTGGTTTCTTCCCAGATTGTCAATACAGCAGTATTCCTTTTCTGACACGTCTTCCTGGAAAATCAGCTCTCAGAGGTGTTGGGGTGTTTGTCCAGCTGAGTATGGGAGAGCCAGAGGTGTGGAGAATCCTGTGCCACTGAGCCTGGGCAGGCAGGGAGTGGAGCCAGAGGGAGGAATTCCTGGAGGATGGAGGCTTCTGCTGCAGGGGTTGTCTGTCCCTCCTCCCTCTCTCCCAGAGGATCCCTCATTTGCATGATTTAATCAATGACAAATGCAAATGAGGGCTCCCAAGGAAAGATATCCATTCAGGACCCTGAATATCCACGTGGCATCCTGCTTCAAGTGGAGCTGTAGCAGGAGCTGCTCCCAAGACAGGCTGTGGGTCTCACCAGCCTCTTTAGTGGTTAATGGCACTTGAAATGGGGCGTTTTTCCTTCCTCCACTGCTCCCTCCAGTGGCACCAGGAACTGTTTCCCAAATCCATTGAGATTTTGTTCAGTAGGACTCAGAGAGTCTTCTCCTTTGTTTTCTCCCTGCCCTCTCCTGGTTCCGTGTGTCCTGTCTCCTTCCCTGTAAATCCCCCTCACTCAGTCACCCCCCATGGAATTCACTGACTCCCCCCACACCGACCCTGGTCAATATTCCATACGTGCTTGTGAGAATCCTCATCTCCATCCCCACCAAGGACTCCCCAGTTCCCTCCTCTCCCCCCAGTGGGAGCGATGGCTCTGTCCAGCCAGGTGATGAGCAGCATGGTGGGTTCCTTCCTTCCAAGCTGCCCTGGATCCCAGCTGGTGTTTTCCCTCCTGTGTTTGCCAGGGTCCCTGGAGTGTCCAGGGAAGCAGGTGAGGGGTAGTGGGGGATGTGGCTGTGCAGGACCTCTACAAAGCGTTTCCACAGAATTGTTTGGGTTGCAGTAGATCTCCAAGATCAAATCCAACCATTTCGGAAACGAGAACAAAAACCTGGTGGTTTCATTGCTGTCTGATTGCAGGGTGTAGCTGAGGCAGTGGAGGGGCAGCTCGGGTCTCTGCTCCCTGTGACAGGGACAGCACCCAGGAATGGCTGGAGCTGTGCCAGGGAGGGTCAGGCTGGATGTCAGCAAAGGTTCTTCCCTCCCCCAGAGGGGCTGGCACTGCCCAGGCTCCCCAGGGAACGGGCACGGCCCCAGAGCTCCAGGAGTGTTTGGACAGCGCTGCCAGGGCTGCCCAGGCTGGGATTGTTGGGGGGTCTGTGCAGGGCCAGGAGCTGGGTCTGGGAGCCCTGGGGGCCCTTCCAGCTCAGGAGACTCCGTGGTTCTGTGATAATTGCTGGGCTTTTGTACCTTGCAGCAACAGGACAAGACCTCATCCAACCTGCACGAGGCTGCGTCGGACTGCGTGTGCTCAGCCCTCTACGCCATCGAGAACGTGGAGACCAACCTGCCCCTGGCCCTGCAGCTCTTCCAGGGCGTGCTCACCCTCGAGAGTGCCTATCACATGGCTGTGGCACGGGAGGACCTGGACAAGTGAGAGACAGGGACCTCAGTGTGGCCGGGAGAGATGGGCAGGACAGCACTGACCCGGCCTCCAAATGGAGCTACCATTGCCACGAGCACCAGCAGTGCTGGGGGCACCGGGGTGGGCAGTGCCCGTCCCTGTGCTGGGCACTCATGGGGTCACACCCAAATCCTGGGGACAGGTCTGGGCCCTTGCTGCAAGGGAGACATGGAGGGGCCCAGGTCCAGAGGCTGGGCTGGACTGGAACCGTGCCCTCACAGCTGGCACTGGGATTTTGGAGAAGTTCCAGATCAGTATTTCAGCAGCTTTGCTTATTGTGCTTATTGAAACCCGGTATTTGCATCTCCCAGCTGCTAGGGGAGCAGAAGCTGTTTTTCCTTGCTCTGGCCGAGGCTCTGGGCACATTTTGGCCAGGTAGAGCCCGTGAGGCTGATCAGCCCCTTGTCCCTGTGCAGGGTGCTCAACTACTGCCGTGTGTTCACCGAGCTGTGCGAGACCTTCCTGGACAAGATCGTGTGCACGCCAGGCCAGGGCCTGGGCGACCTGCGCACGCTGGAGCTGCTGCTCATCTGTGCGGGGCACCCGCAGTACGAGGTGAGCAGGGCCTGTGCCCCTGTCCCCCCTCTGGGCCCAGGCACAGGGGGAGCTCTCCCTGCTGCTGCCACACAGTCGTGCCCTCGGTCCCCGCGAGCTGCTGGCTCTGGAGTTCCTGCTCTGCACTCGTGGGCAGGACTCTGCCTGCACGTTTCCTTCCGGGTGGGCTGGCAGTCTGGGGTTGCCAGTACAGCTCCAAAACCCCTGTTAGAGCTTTCCCACATGGTAAAGTTGAGCTCAGTGGGGATTTGTGGTTCCTGGGAATTTTGCCCTGTGAGTGACTGAAATGCTGGTTCACATCAGAGCTCCTGCCCCCCTGCCTTAGGAGCAAAACTTGTCGTGTTTTGGTGTCTTTTTAGCCTTTATTTAATTCTTTATCCTTTTATTCTTCCCAAACCATTAATTAAGTGGCAGTAGCTGATCCCTGCCTGTGTTCAGTGGATGGAAGCTGCTGCCTGTCTGGTTTGCCATGGGAGGTGCAGAGCTCCAGCAGGACTCATGTGCTCCCTGGGGTCCCTGGGACCCTTTTCCTCCCTTCCCAGGTCTGTTAAGCTCAGTTTTCCTTGGCCACAACCTCATCCTGTGCCATCAGTGCTGAGGAGGACAGGGAGCTGTGCAGCTGCTCCTGACCAAATCCACACTCATGGTTTTTGTGCAATAACCACACGATAAATAAAAGAGCCCACGACAAAGGGGCCGCATGCGCTTCCAGCTCCAGCTGCTCCCAGAGCCCCACGCCCCTCTCTGGGGTGGTTCTGGGCTGGCTTTGGCTGCCGAGGACTGGGGAAGGTGTTCAGGGTCACTGGGGGTCCCAAGCCCTTTACTGACTGACAGAGAAACTGGGGGGACCTGGGGGAGCTGGTCCCTGTGTCACCACTGTGTGACACAGCAGCTCCGACACAGATCTGTGGTGCCACCACTGCTGGCACCCAGGGAGGGTTTCTGTTTCCACATCAGGGCCACTGACACAGTGAGGAAAAAATGTTCTGCTGCTAACAAAATTCTGGATTTTTCTTTTCAAACAGGTGGTAGAAATTTCCTTCAACTTCTGGTATAGACTGGGGGAGCACCTGTACAAGACAGATGATGCTGTGATCCACAGCATCTTCAAAGCCTACATCCAGCGCCTGCTGCACGCGCTGGCACGGCACTGCCAGCTGGACTCTGACCACGTAAGGGCCCTCTGGAGCAGCCTTGGCATGTGTGGGACCCTCTAGGGGCACTGGGATGTGTGTGTCCCTATGGAACAGCCAGGCTGTGGGATGTGCTGTCCCTGCTTGAGGCAGTTTTGTTGGGTAGGGCTGGCATGGCTCACTAGCCACAGCTGTTCTTCTGCCATGCGGTCTAAGATGGTTTATTGTCTCCTTCTCTCCTCATCCCCTTGCTTCCCACCCCTTGCTCTGCTTGTTGGAGCAGGAACACACAGCGTGTGCTCAGGCTGGTGCTTTCCTTGGGCACAGCACTCCAGTCCCTGCTGCAGCCTGGTGTGGGACAGGAGAGCAGGAATGCTGATGTTGCCCTGGCTGTGGCCGAGTGGGAGCCTGAACTCCCCTGAGCTGCCCTCGTGCTGTCCCTCCTCTCCCTCAGGAGGGCGTCCCGGAGGAGACCGACGACTTCGGGGAGTTCCGGATGCGCGTCTCGGACCTGGTGAAAGACCTGATCTTCCTGGTGGGCTCCGTGGAGTGCTTTGCTCAGGTGGGTTTGGGGCGGTGCAGTGAGCTGCAGGCAAATGCCAGGGGAGATCAGCGAGCCCTGGTTGCCTTTGGGACTGGAGGGGGGCACACACATCTTGTGCAGGAGGAGCTGTCAGGTGTGGGGGCAGCAGGAGGTTTCTGACCTCCTGGTTTTCGGAAAGCCACTGTGGTCCCACAGTGTCAGGCTGGTCTGTGGAATGTGGGGTTTCTGCGGGCCCACAGCTGGGGTGGGAGTTTGGGGAGGGGAGGGGTCAGGAGCAGGGCCTTGGGGGGGTTGGTGGTGGGCGTTGGTGGCCCCTCGGTGGCCCCTCGGTGACTGTCCCCTCCCGCAGCTCTATGCAACGCTCAAGGACGGGAACCCGCCCTGGGAGGTGACAGAGGCCGTGCTCTTCATCATGGCCTCCATTGCCAAGAGCGTCGACCAGTGAGTCCTGCCTGTGTCCAGGGGGGCCAGGGCTGCCTCCATGTGACACAAACTCCACAAATATCCCAAGGATGTTCCCGTCCCTGGAAGTGTCTAAAGCCAAGCTGGATATTGGGGCTGGGAGCAGCTGGGACAGTGGGAGGTGTCTCTGCATGGCAGGGGTGGCACTGCAGGGACTTTGAGGTCTGTTTGCAAATCATTCATTGGGGATCCTTCCACATCCAGGTGGAGTTTTTGTAGGTATCTTTAGGGAAGGTTAAGTCACTGAAAGTATGTTTCCTCCTAAGTTAGTGACAGTGGAAACACGGACAGGTGACACCCAGGGTGGTGAGCCCACAGTGAGTCCTGTGTGCTGCCAGCAGTGGGACAACCCAGCTGGCCTTCCCTGGGCTGGGAATGCTGTCCCTCCCAGCCCTGGGACACTGATCCCCATCCCTCTCTTCCCTGGGAGGCTGATTGCTGTCACTCTTTTTCCCATGGTAACACCCTCCCTCCCTTCCTTGTGAGGCTGGGAGTCCTATCCCCCTGGCACGTGGAGGAGTCCCCTCAGTCCCTTCACGTCACCAGCTCCTGCTATCTGTGTTGAGTTTGCTCCTGCTCGTTTTTCCAATGTCTTATTCCTGGAAGTGCTGTCTGGAAGCACTGGGAGCTCTGCCCCCACCAGCCCAGCCCAGGATCGCCCAATCCCAGCCTCGAACCCCCTGGCAGAGCTGGGGCTCTCCCTGGAGGTGGTCAGTGTTCCCTGTCTGTCCCCTGCTGTGGCACTGGTGTCCGTGGGGCTGAGCCCCATCTCACAGGGTCTGTCCCGGTGTGCTCCCAGTCCCATTCCCGTTCAGTTCCCTGCGGATCGCGGCTCTGCCCGCCCCAGGCTCTGCCCGCCCCGGGCGCTGAGCCCAGCCTGTCCCGCAGGGAGAACAACCCGACGCTGGTGGAGGTGCTGGAGGGCGTGGTGCGGCTGCCCGAGTCGGTGCACACGGCCGTGCGCTACACCAGCATCGAGCTGGTGGGCGAGATGAGCGAGGTGGTGGACAGGAACCCGCAGTTCCTGGGTGAGTCCCGCACCCTTGAGCCCCCCCCCCCGACCCCCTCCTGCCGCCCCCTGACCCCCTGTGCCCGCAGATCCCGTGCTGGGCTACCTGATGAAGGGGCTGTGTGACCGGCGCCTGGCGTCGGCCGCGGCCAAGGCCATCCACAACATCTGCTCCGTGTGCCGCGACCACATGGCCCAGCACTTCTCGGGGCTGCTGGAGATCGCCCGTGCCCTCGACTCCTTCGCTCTGTCCCCCGAGGCTGCCGTGGGGCTGCTCAAGGGTGGGTGTCCGGGGGGTCGGCTGGGGGGTCATCTGTGGGGTTATCTATGGGATCTGAGGAGTTATCTGTGGGATCGGTGGGGTACCTGTGGGATCTGGGGAGTTATCTGCGGGGTTATATCTGGAAAGTTACTTGTGGGGTTACCTGTGGGATCTGGGGAGTTATCCCTGGGATCTGCAGGGGCATCCGAGGGATCTGCCAGGATATCCATGGAAACTGCTAGGGTATCTACAGAAACTACTGGGTTATCTATGGGATCTATCTGCTGGGGTATCCACGGGAGCTGTGCACCCCAGGGTGCTGAGCCCTGTCCTCACAGTGTTTGTCCTGATGTGCCCCAAGTCCCATTCCACATGCAGAACGTCCTCAGGAGTTCCCTTGGGGCTGGAGGCAGAAATAAATCCTGGGTTGGTAACTGTCCCCATCCCTGAGCTCAGGGACTGTCTTGGGCTGGATGTGTGGGAAGAGCATGTGGGAAGTGCTGAGAGCCAGGCTGGCAGCGGGTCACTGCTCCATCCAAACTCTGGGAATCACCTGCTGGACACACAGGGTGAAAATTTGGGAGTATTGGTCATTTTAGAGAGTTTGGGCTCAAGAATGGAGATTTTTAACTCCAGTTTACACTCGGAGTGTTGGTGTCTCACTGGACTGTTGGTTACCGCGGGCCTCAGATTTCCAGTGAATTCCAGTGCTGCTGGAGCCTTTACCCAGAGCCAGGGAGCCTTCCCTGTAGTCCTGTGCTGCCATGGGAGAGGAGACAAAAATCCACTTGTTCCACTGGATACCCCAGCGCTGTCCAAGCTGCTCCTCTCCCTGCCACAGGGTTTGCTCCCCCTCCCTTAGAACAAGCCAGGAATTCCCAAGCCAGGGAGGTTTTCCCTGGGGTGGTTGCCTCCTCGTGTTCCATGGCTGGGAGCCCCAAAGCGTTTTCACTGGTGTTTTCACTCATGGTGCTCTGGACTGGGACAGGGACACTGGGGACACATGGGCGGCCCAGATGTGCTTGTGGCATCTGTTGGCCTCATGCTGTCCCTCCTGCCAGCATCACTCCCTGTTGGGACTGAAATGTTTCAGTGTCTGGTTCAACCAGAGCCAGGCTCAGCTGCGGGGGAACCCTCCCAGGCCCTGCCCTTGTCCCACAGCCGTTCCATCTGGGAATGTCATCACCCCTCCAGTGCTGCATCCCTGTCCCTGAGCCCTGTGTGTCCTTGCAGGGACAGCGCTGGTGCTGGCCCGGCTGCCCCTGGAGAAGATCTCGGAGTGCCTGAGCGAGCTCTGCGCCGTGCAGGTGCTGGCGCTCAAGAAGGTGAGTCTGCGTGGGGGGACAGCAGCCGGGAGGGGACAGTGGGGACAGTGGCCAGGTCCCAGCCCTGCTACAGCAACTGTGTCCTCAGAGCCACAGGTGTATCCTAGAGTAGTGGAATTGTTCGGGTTGGAGAAGCCCCTGGAGCCCCTTGAGTCCAACCGTTCCCATCACTGCCAGGGCCACCATTGTGTCCCCAAGTGCCACATCCACACGGCTTTTCCGTCCCTTTAGGGATGGGGACTCCACCCCTGCCCTGGGCAGCCATGCCAAGGCCAGGAAGAATTTCCCCAATATCCACCCTGAGTCTGCCCTGTCACAGCCTGAGGCCGTTCCCTCCCATCCTGTCACTTGTTCCATGGGGGCAGCACCCACACAGGACTGAGCCCTGCCCAAGCCCCACCTGAGGAGGTGCAGAGGTGGGGTCAGTGTCCAGGCAGTGTCTTCCCTGGGCACAGGGTTACCTGTGCTCCTGAAATCCTGTCCTTTTCCCTTTCCAGCTGCTGTCCCAGGAGCCAAGCAATGGCCTCTCCTCAGACCCTACAGTGCCCCTGGATCGACTCGCCGTCATCTTCAGGTGAGGAGGGAGCTGGGGCACTGCTGCTCCCCCAGAGCCTGGATCTGCAGCACCTCCTTCTCCCCAGCCCTTGGGGAGTGGGCTGGGAGTCTCTACTTCCCCAGTTCCAGCTCCCGAGGTGCCCCCCAAGCCAATTCCTGGTCCACTTCCCACAGCTCCAGCCCTTTTCCTTGGCTTTAATCCCAGCCCCCCGTTAACCGTTGCCTGTTCCCACAGACACACCAACCCCATTGTCGAGAACGGCCAGGTCCACCCGTGCCAAAAAGTCATTCAGGAGGTGCGTGGGAGAGGGCTGGGTTTTGGGGAGAGGGTTCTGGTCAGGGGTTCTGGGGTGGGGGTTTCCAGCTGTGGGGGCACCTGGGGTGTTGTACAGTGTCCCCAGTCCCTGGCTGCCAGCAGATCCATGTGTGTACCCAGGGCTGCACGGGAGGGGAGCTGTGAGCACCCTCCTGGAGAGGGAAGTTTGAGGCTTCAACTCTCTGGAAAGGGCCCTGGCTGTGGGAATGTCTCGGGTGTTTGATTTCCCTGCCCGTGTCCCCTTTGCCGCACTGCACTGGAGGGGATAAACGATTCCAGGCTCCTCCAGGAACCTTTTCTCCCTCACCTGCCATCCCCCACTGGGATCTGGGTGTTTTGGGGGCCGGGAGGGAGTTGGGGGGGGGGGGTGTCTGAGGGTCAGGTGTGACCCTTCCCACCTGTCCGTGCCCAGATCTGGCCGGTGCTGTCGGAGACCCTGAACAAGCACAGTGCCGACAACCGCATCGTGGAGCGCTGCTGCCGCTGCCTGCGCTTCGCCGTGCGCTGCGTGGGCAAGGGCTCGGCTGCACTGCTGCAGCCCCTCGTCACCCAGGTGGGGCTGGGGCTCGGGGACACTGCTGGGGCTCGGGGACACTGCTGGGGATGGGGGACACTGCTGGGGCTCGGGGACACTGCTGGGGATGGGGGACACTGCTGGGGATGGGGGACACTGCTGGGATGGGGGGACACTGCTGGGATGGGGGACACTGCGAGCTTGGGGGGCTCGCTCAGGTCACAGAGATGGCTGTGGGCACTGGGAAGTGCTGCAGTGAATCCTGGCAGTCTGGGTAATTCCAGCATAAACTCTTGGGGAGGAAAGAGGCTTTGGAAGAGGTGGGGGATGCTGGGAGGTTGTGGAGCCCTGTGTGTGTGTGTGTGATTCAGGAGGAGTGTGTGAAAGCCTGCATGGTGCAGCTCCTTGGGGAGGTAAGCCAGCCTGAGGGAAGGATCCGTGAATCCCAGAGCTGGGTGTTCCCTGCTCCACCCGGCTCGAGGAAAAGCTTCTGTGGAGAAGCAGTGCTGGCTCAGGGAGCCTCAGCACAGAGATGTTCCCAGGACCTGAGCGAGTCCATTGGGATGTGCCCGCGTGGCCCAGGCTGGGGGCTGGCACAGGCTGGGGGCTGGCACAGGCCGGGCTCAGAGGGATGGAGGGTCAGGGCAGATCCAGCAGTGCCCATGCAGCGTTCCTGTCTCCCCAGATGGTGAATGTGTACCGAGAACACCAGCACTCCTGTTTCCTCTACCTGGGCAGCATCCTGGTGGATGAGTATGGCATGGAGGAGGGCTGCAGGCAGGGCCTGCTCGACATGCTGCAGGTAGGGCCCTGCCCAAGTCACGGCATCACTTGGGCTGGGAAATCCTCACGCCACATTGTTTCCAACCGTCCCCAGCACTGCCAAGGCCACCACCGACCTGTCCCCAAGTGCCACCTCCACGCAGCTTTTAAATCCCTCCAGGGATGGGGACTGCACCCCTGTCCTGTGCAGCTGTGCCAGGGCTGGACAGCCCTTTCCAGGAGGAATTTTCCCTAATATCCAATCTGTATAGAATCTCAAACCGCTTTGGGTGGGAAGGGACCTTGAAGCCTGTCCATGGGCAGGGTCACCTTCCACTACCCCAGATTGTCCCAAGCCCACTCCAGCCTGTCCGTGGACACTTCCAGGACTGGGACGCTGTTCCTTGTGGAACAGTTTCAGGAGTGATCCCAGATAGTTGCTGATGGGTCTCTGTTCTCCCCAGGCTCTCTGTATCCCCACCTTCCAGCTCCTCGAGCAGCCCAACGGCCTCCAGAACCACCCAGACACCGTGGATGACCTGTTCCGCCTGGCAGCCAGGTGCCACCACGCTCCTGCCACCCCCTGCCACAGGGCACTGGCCCTGTCCCCTCGTGGAGGGTCCCACGGGAGCGGGGAGGAGGCAGGACCTGCCCTGACACCCGTGTGTCTCCCGGGCAGGTTCATCCAGCGCAGCCCCGTCACCCTCCTGCGCAGCCAGGTGATGATTCCCATCCTGCAGTGGGCCATTGCTGCCACCACCCTGGACCACCGGGACGCCAACTGCAGTGTCATGAAATTCCTGCGGGATCTGATCCACACCGGCGTGGCCAACGACGTGAGTGACACACGGGGATGTTCCTCGGGAGCCTCTTCCTCCATGATGACACCATGGAATCATGGAATGGTTGGGAAGGGACCTGGGAACCCTCCAGTGCCACCCCTGCCATAGCAGGGACACCTCCCACTGTCCCAGGTGCTCCAAACTCCATCAGCCCCATCATCATCATCCTCATCAGCCTTGTCCTGCTGTCCCCACAAGCTACCCTGGTTTCCCCAGTGCTGCTGACAGAGAAGCTTTGGAGTTGCCTGCAGAGCGAGGAGCTTATCCCTGTCCCCAGGACCAGTGTGTCCCTGTCCCCAGCCCCTGGCCACCCTTCTCCTTCCTCCCACAGCACGAGGAGGACTTCGAAGTGCGGAAGGAGCTCATCAACCAGGTGATGACCCAGCTGGGGCAGCAGCTCGTGAACCAGCTCCTGCAGACGTGCTGCTTCTGCCTGCCGCCCTACACCCTGCCCGACGTCGCCGAGGTGCTCTGGGAGATCATGCAGATCGACCGCCCGGTGAGGGCAGGGACCCCGGGGGACAGGAGGGACCCCGGGGGACAGGAGGGACCCCGGCGGGACAGGAGGGACCCCTAAAGGGAGGAGTGGGACCCCGAAGCTCTGCCGAGGCAGGGCCTGGGAGCCCAGCTGGGCTCCACATTGCGAGTTCCTCCCTGTCCTTCGGCACAGACGTTCTGCCGCTGGCTGGAGAACTCCCTGAAGGGGTTGCCAAAGGAAACCACGGGCGGAGCCATCCAGGTGACACACAAACAGCTCACCGACTTCCACAAGCAGGTCACCAGGTGAGTGAAGGTCCCTCCTTCAGGCCGGGTCCAGCAGCCCCCAGCCCTGCCCGTGCCGTTCACCCTGCTGAGATGTGCCCTCTGCCTGCACGGGCCACACGGAGCCCTGGGGGCCACACGCCACCTTTGCTGTCAACCAACGGGTTTTTCTGCCTGGCCTGATCCCTGGCGAGCCGCTGGCCCTTCCCGAGCCACCTCCTTATCCCTGTGAGTCACTGTTCCAGGCCCTTCCCACGGCCACCGGCTGTTTTGAGAACATCAGCTCCCTCTGCCTGGCTCCTTCTCATCCCTGGACAAATCCCAGAGGCAGCTGGTTCCTTCCACCCAGCCACCACGGTGGTGGCACACAGGTCTCCAGGAACAATCCCGGGGCCTGCCGACCTCGTTGTGCCCTGATGATTCCCCTGATGGTTCTGCTCTCCCAGCACCTTGGAATCGAGCTGCCACGTTCCCAGCTCCCATCCCTCGGCAGGACACCTCCCTTGGGTCCCAAACGTCCCGTTGAGGTCACCCCCTGATGTCACCCCCTTGTCTTGCAGTGCTGAGGAATGTAAACAAGTCTGCTGGGCTCTGAGGGACTTCACCCGCCTGTTCCGATAGCTCCGGCTCCACGTGGCTCCTGTCTCCCAGGTAAGGGCCTGGCTCTGGGCCACTGCCCCAGAGGACATCGGGGACAAAGGGCTGATGCTCCCCTCCTCCTCCCAGGAATGTCTTTACGGAGAAGACAGGAAACAGCAACCCAAGAATGTGTCCCACAATCAGCCGAGGGCTCCAGCGCGCCCCAGAGCCGCGGGAGGACGGCGGGGACCCCGCCTGCCCAGCGGCCTCATGGCCCGGGGCTCGGCCACCGCCACGAGCACCAGCCCAGGCACCACCCTGAACCCAACTGCAAACCCACCGGGAGCCTCACGGATCCACTCGGATTCGCCCGGCAGCAAAAGAAGTAGAAAAAACTTTCTGTGAAATGGAGACAAAAAAAAAAAAAAAGGAGGAAAAGAAACAAACAAAAAACAAACAGTACAAATTGTTTAGGAAGATGGGGGGTCAGTCTGGGGGTCGTGGGGCGCTGCCCCCCTGAGCCCACCGTGGCCTGCCTGGTGCCGACTCCCAGAGACGACACAGGTGGGACGGACTCTGCAAATAGAGATTTATATTTTATTTTGTTCTGCTTTTTTAGTTTGTTTTCTTGTTTGGGTTTTCTTTTTCTTTTTTTTTCCCTTTTTCTGGGGTTTTCTTTGGTTTGATTTTGGGGTCGGAGGCAGTGGCTCGAGTGCGGGCAGGGCGGGCGGGCGCATGCGGTTCCCTCCGGGGGTGTGTAGCCATCTCGAGAACAATAAAAAACAACAAAAAACTGAAAAAATAAATTAAGACCTCCCAAGGCCCCTCTAGTTCTTCTCTCAGGGCTGGGGCTGCTTTGTGCCCCCCCAGCCCTGAGTACCCCCCAGCCCTGGGGGCTGCAGGTCCAGGATGGCCCCGGCCCTGTTTTCTTGCTGTTTGCCCCCAAAGCCCCAGGGGATGATCCTTGGGGAGTGCAGGGAGGGGTCCGGCGGCTCCGCCCCGCCCTGCTGGAGCTGCCCCAGGGTGGGTGGTCACAGGTGAGTGGTCACAGTCCCTCTCCCTGCAGAGCACCCCGGGTGCTGGTCACTGGCAGCTCTGGGGAGACTGGGGCAGGGACAGGGTGGGGACAGGGATGAGGATGGTGCTGGGTGGCCCTGGCCTCACCAGCCGAGCTGGCCGCGGAGCGACTCACCCGGCTGGCAGTGCCAGGGCTGTCCCCGTGTCCCTGTCAGTGGGGCAGGGGGCCGGGCGGCAGCGCCCAGGGCCCTGCGGAGGCGCAGGGCGGGGGCTGCGCCGGCGGCAGCCGCTGGTGGCTCTGCCACAGCTGGTGCAGCTCTTTGAACTGCTCCACCATCCTGTCCTTGAGGTCGGGGTGCGAGATCTGCAGCGGGATGCTGTCGGCCGACCAGGACAGCTCCCCGGAGAACATCTCCAGCAGCAGCCGCGCCGCCACCGGCACCACCTGCGGGAGTCGAGGGGTCACCGCGGGCAGGGACACCGGGCAGGGACACCCCCCGTGTCACCGCGGGCAGGGACACCGGGCAGGGACACCCCCCGTGTCACCGCGGGCAGGAACACCGGGCAGGGACACCCCCCGTGTCACCGCGGGGCCCGGCCCCTCACCTGCACCGTGATCAGCTTCTTCTCCTTGGGCTTCTGGTCCGGCCACTCCTCGCCAAAGCAGAGGAAGATCTCAAAAGGGGGCGGGGTGGGGGTCTGCCCCTTCTGGAACTGGATGAGGCCTGTGGGGCCCGAGGCTGAGCTGAGGGACAGGACTCGCGCCTGCCTGGGCCACCGCCTCCCCACCCACGGCAACTGAGGGCAACTCCGAGAGCCAGCCAGTGCCCCCCATCCCAGCTCCGTCCCCCCATTCCACCGGGTTCCCATGTGCCACCTGGTGTTCCCATTACACCTTTGTCCCCCTCATGCTACCAGGTGCCCTTGTGCCTGCTGTCCCCTCACCCCAGCTGACCTCTCCATCCCAATCCATTGCCCTCAAGGGACACAGGGCCACCCTCCCTTCCCCTCTGACCATTGAGGAAGCCCTCGAGGCTGAAGAGCTTGGTCCTTCTCTCCCTCTGGATGGGGTTGGGGCCGGGCTGGGGAGCAGCACAGGGCCCTGTCCAGAAGACCTTGCACTGGCAGAGCCGCAGGGCGAAGAGATCCTGGCCCTGGAGCTCCAGGATGAGCCCTCGGTCCAGCACATCCAGCAGCTGGTGGGTGTAGAAGCGCTGCTTCTCGTTGGGAATGGCGTCGGGAGACGGGAAGGGCACCTGCTCCAGCGTCAGGGGCCCGAAGAGCTCCTCCTGCTCCCGCGTGGGCTCCAGGCTGCTGTGGAACAGCCGGCAGCCGTGCGGGTTGCTGACGGTCAGGGCACAGACCTGGCGGCCCCGGTACTGGAACTTCAGCTCCAGGTCAGTCACTGCCGGAGGGCCACGGGGTCAGCGGGAGCCAGGGAGCACCCCAGGGCCGCTCCAGCTGGCCACCCCCACCCACCCATCCAGCTCTGGCCACCCTCCTCCATCCCACAGCCGCTCTGTACCCACCCCAATACAGCCACCCTCACCCAGCGAGCCTGTGGCCACTCCATCCCGTGGCCACCTCTGTCCCACCACCCCATGGCCACCCCCACCCTTGCAGCCGCCACATGACCTCCCCACACCCATGACCGCCCCATGACCACCCCAATGCACCCCCAAGCCCCCTGCTCACGTGGCAGCATGTGGGGGCTGACAAGCAGGTCAGGGATCAGGTGCTCTGTCGGTGCCACCGGGCAGGTGGACGAGGGCCCCGGGGGACCCAGGGGGGGCCCCGTCTCAGGGAGGGTGCCGGGGAGCAGCTCGGGGGTCCCATGGGTGCCCCCCGCCTCCCCCTGGAGCAGTGCCGGGGGGGGAGGTCCAAAGGGCCCCCCTGGGGGGCAGCAGCTGGCAAAGGGAGGGGGCTCCTCCTTGGACCAGGGGTAGGGGGGCAGCAGGTCCCCCCCGTGCTGCGTGTCTAGAGCAGAGAGGGGAGTCAGAGGGCACAACCCAACCCCCTGACACCCTGAGTGCCCACCCGACACCCTGAGCACCCCACTCACCATCGATGCTCAGGGATGTCATCTTCTGGAGCTGCAGGGCAGAGTGGGTGTTACAGGGACCCTCCTGCCATCCTGAGGTGTCCCCGGTTTGGGGATCCCCCCACCCTGAGCCCCCCCCAGATACCTGGCTGACATCTTCCTCCCCGCTGCAGCCATAGTCATCCTCGTCCCCCCCATCTGCAAGGGAGAGAGGGGCTGGGAAATGCAGAGGGAACTGGGGGGTGCTGAGGTGGATATTGAGGGGCACCGAGGCTTCAGAGAGGGTGGGCCCCTTGTGGGGGGCCAGGTGTCTGGGGGCGCTGGGTCCTGGTAGGGTATGGGGGGCTGCCGGGGGTCTGGGACCTCACGGGGTGCTGGGGCTTTGTGGGTGTGGGGTACTGGCGGGACGTCAGGTCCTTGCGGGGTGCTGGGACTTCGGGGGCTGCTCAGGGCTCTCCCCAGAGCCCCCCGTACCTGCGCCCCCGGGGGACTCCTCGCAGAGCTCGTAGATGCGGAAGGGCTGGGCCGGGGACCCGCGGGGCCCGTCCAGCAGCAGCCGGAACTCGCGGCTCTTGTTGAGGGCACAGCGCAGCGTGGCCTTCCAGCGAGGGGGGTCTGGCGGGTCCCCGGCCCGGAACCGGCCCGTCTCCTGTGCCCACGCCTGACCGGGGGGGTCAGCGCCCGGCACCCACAGCCTGCGTGTCCCAGGTCCCCCTCGCCACCTCACCCCACTGACACCACCCATCCCATGTCCCCCCATGATCCTTGTCACCCCCACCGTGTGTCCCTCGTCACCCATCACCCTGTCACTCCTGTCCCTTGTCCCCCATTGTCACCCATCCCATGTTCCCACTGTTACCCATCACTCTGTCACCCCCGTTCCCTTTCCTCCATATCCCTACTGTCCCCATGCCGTGTCCCCCTTGTCACCCTGACACGCATCACCCCCGTCATCCCATGTCCCCCACGCCCGCACTGTCCCCATCCCACGTCCCCGCTGTCACTCCGAGTCCCGCGGTGTCACCTTGAAGATGGTGTCGTGGTCCTGGGGTCCCGGGGGGTTCCTGGTGGCGTGTCCCCAGGGGATGACGAAGCGCCGGTGCTCAGGGTCGAGCCAGCGGAGCCCCGGGAAGCGCCGGCTGCTCACCTGGGCCACCAGCCAGGGCTTGAGGCGCACCCGCCGGGGGGGGTCCATGGCCTGGGGACACCGGGGGCACCTCGTGACCCTGCCTGCCACCCCCGGTCCCGAAAGAGGAACCGGGCCCGAACCGGACTCCCCGCCCCGAGGTTCCGCTTTCAGGCCAGCAGGGTGGGTGAGGCCCCCCCGCCCCAGCTCTGTGTCCAGCGTGGGCGTTGGGGGCGTCACCCACACCCCGAAAGCAGAAGCTGCGGTGGCTTCAGTGAAAGAAAAGTGGAGCTGAGAAGGGGAGGGGACAGGAGGGACTGGAGGGACAAGGGGACACGAGGGATAGGGGGAGAGTGGGACACGGGGAATGTGAGACGTGAGGGGGACGGGGGGACATGGGACAGGGGACACACGAAAGATGAGGGCCACATGTAGCGACATGGGGGGACACAGTGAGGACACGAGGACGTGGAGAGACATGGGAAACATACGAGAGACAGGGGACATGGGGAAGGGAGGAGGGACACAGGGGTGACATGAGGACACAGGGACATGGGATGGAGGGGACACGGTCACAGGATGAGGGGGGACGGGGGACACAGAGACAGGGCAGAACACCGCGGGTGACACGCGAGGGATGGGGGGGGACACATGGGGGACACGGGGACATGTGAAGTCCCGGCCATGGTCCCTGTGCAGCGACAGGAGCCGCGAGGGGAGAGCAGCCCTGAGGATCCCCGCCTGTCCCCCACGCGTGTCGCACGGACGGGGCGCTGTCCCCGAGGATTTCTCGGCCATCTCAGCATCGCCCCGTCACGGCTCCACTCCCGCGGCCCCCCCTCCTCATGGGCACCCACCTGGGGCCCCCCACCTCGGGAGCGGCCCCGGATCTCACCTGCGCTCGGGGCCGGTCCCGGGGCCGCCGCCCAGAGCTTCCGCACGCGGGGCCGGGCGTGGGCGTGGGGCGAGACCGGCCGGGACCGCCCCGGGACCGCCGCGCCTGGGCCGTGGGTCGGGACCGCCCGCGTCCCCGCAGGACCCCTCACCTCGTGTCACCCCTCTCGTGTCCCTCCGGCCCCCACCTCCCCAGGTGGCCCCCATGTGTTCCCCCCATGTCCCCCCCTCCTCGTTCCCCTGTGTCCTCCCCGTGTCCCTACCCTCGTGTCCCCGTCTCGGACCCCGCCCCATCTCCCCGGCTGTCACCCCGCGCTGCTGGCAGACCCCTCATTAACATATGATTTGCATATATTTGCATATGCACTTCCCATTTCCCGCTCACGTGACGCGCGGGGATCCCCGCGGTGGGCGGCAACATCTGAGCTCCTCTTCGAGCTTTGATTGGCCAAACTCGCTGTCACTCATCCGTGGGCGAGCCTGCGCTCCCGCCCCAGAGACCCCGCCCCCGGCTCGGCCCCGCCCCCTGCGGCTGTCCGTCAACGAGGGGGCGCGGTCCTGGTGGGCGTGGCCAAGGACGACACCGACGGGCCGGGAAGGGGCGTGGTCCGTCCCGGGGGGCGGGGATTGTCCCGGGGGGCGGGGCTGTCACATGGCGCCGGGCGCGCCCCGCCGCACGCCGGGACCCCCCGGTGCCCCCCGCACCCCCTCGGTGCCCCCGGTGCCCCCGCCCCGCCCCGGGAGGAAGAACCGAAGGAGGTACCGGGACTCCCCCTGCCCCGGAACCCGCCGGTGAAGGGGACCCCTAAATGCTGCCATGCGGGGCGGGGGGTGCGGATGTGTCCCCGGGGGGACGGACGGGACTCGGGGCTCCCGGCGAGTCTGGGCCAGTCTTGCCCCGTTTAACTGGCAGATTTCAGGGGTTTAATGTTGTTTTTCGCCCCGATCCCGGTGCGACGGCTGGAAACGGGACAGGGGGTTTCTCGAGGGGAGCGTGGATCCCGGGGGTTGTTAGGAGAGAGGAGCAGATCCCAGGATTTATGCAGGGTGGTGGTGGGGGAGTAGAGTCCAGTGCATTCCTGGGAGATCCGATCCCCGTGGATTCCCAGGGAGAGAGGCTCAGATCCCTGTGAATGGGGAGTGGGAGCAGAGCGCGGTGAATTCCCGGGGGAGAGGACCCGGTGGATTCCCAGCTGGATCTCTGCTCTGCAGTTTATCCCACCGCTGTGCCTGTTCTTGCCCTGTCCATGCTTTTACCGGGATCCCAGTTGATCCCAAGGAACAGCTGCAGCCTGTGTGAGTCTGGCCGCAGGCCAGACAGGGAACGGCACCAAAGCCACCAGCTATCAGATGCTGAAGGGATATTTCCCCAAGGATCCCACCCTGGTGTCTGCTCAGGCCTCGCTGGGGGTTTCTCCAGAGTGGGATGCCGGGTGGGTGAGCGCCAGCATCGAGCATCTCGGCTGAGATTCTGGGAAAGGAGAGATTGGGTCACGGGGACAAAATGGGGGAAAACCTCAGGGTTTGGGTCATCCTGGGGTCGCTCCTTCCCCCCGAACCGCTGCTGCTGCCATCACATTCCCGGGCACGCTGGTGCTCCGGTGGGTTGGGGTCTCCTCCCAGCCTGGCATAATGCACCCTCTTCACTTTGTGTTTTTCTGGAAAGAGAAGCCCGAATTAATCTCCCGGCTCACCTCGTGGCGGTGGCCATGAGAGGGAGCCTCAGAACTGCCCACACCGGAGCTGCTCCCGGTGGTGTTGGACGGGATTCCCTGGAGCTGGGCTGGTGCTCCCCGGGCTCCCGGCCAGGCTCTGCTCTGGGTACCATCCCCATGGACCGGGTTTTGGGGCTCCTTCAGGCGGGTTTGGGCCATATAGGGTGAGCCTGTAGAAACAGGGCTCCAACGCTTTCTCACGCCTGATTTGGTGGCTGTGGAGCTGGAATGTGCTGCCAAGGAACTGCCAGGGATGCTGGATCTGCGCCGGGATGGAGATCCATGCCCTCAGCAGGCCGGCTCTCTGTCTCTGACATTCCCTGTTCTCCGTGGCAGCTCCGAGTGGACGGTTCAGCGGAAGCTGCGGCAAGTGTTTGCCCTCCCGCGGTGCCTGGTCAGCGTGTTCAGCCTCTTCCTGGTGGAGCTGATCCGCTTCCTTGGCGAGGCCGTGGTCCAGGTGAGCCGCCCTGTTGCCTCAGAGCCACGGCTGGAGCAGCTGCTGAGCACGTCAAAGTCCTTCAGTACTGGGAGAAGGAACTTCCATTTCCCACCACTGCACATTTCCTCTCCTAGAGTGGAATTTTTGTGTGTCAGCCCATTTTTGGTGACTCCCGCTGGCAAATATCCCTCAAACACAAGATTTCATCCCAAATCCAGGCGCTGGTGGTCGGTGTCCTGACAGCCATCGGCGACCATGTCCTGAAGCCCTTGCTGGCGGCAGCGTTCCACAGCCTCCTGCAGCCGCTCCTGCTCTTCCTGCTGAAGGTGCTGGGTGGCGTCCGGGACCTGACAGATCCGGTGCTGGATGTGGTGGCCCGGGTGTGCTCCCAGCTGGCCGTGCTGCTCCGCGCTGTCCGGCTGGTGGAGATCCGCCTGCGCCCGGACCTGCGGGCTGGCGACGGCGGGGGATGAGCACAGGCTGTGGGGGGCCAGATAAGATAAGGAGAGGAATTCCTGGGAAGTGCGGAAGAGCGGGGCCGGCTGTGGCCCGGGAGGCTCCGTTGTTGTCTCCACGCGTCTGGGCAGGGGCAGCACATGGTGTGCTGGGAGGGGGATTTGGATCTTCTAGTTTTGCAAATATCTCCTTAACTTAATTAAATTCCAGTTTTATCCATTGAATCAGTGCTCCAGTGAGGTGTTTTTCCTCTTCCTGCCTGGAAAACTTGGCTTCTCGCTGAGAAGGACTTCCCTGTGCAGTCTCTTGCAGCCAGATGGGCTCCACTGCTGGGGGGTGCCCAGGGCCTGTGCCTCAAGCACTGCCCGGAGGGGACGGCTTCTGCCAGCTCCCCAGCACCTGGAATGGTCATCAGAGCCGGTGGTGTGGGATAGACTGGGATTTGGGGGCAATCGAAAAATAGGGATAACAATATAAGGGAATAACCACTTGTGTGTTCCTAACAACTGGTTCTGGCGCGTGATTTGGGTCACGTATTCCCAAAGGAGCCCAGCGGTGGCAGCAAAGCTCTGGGTGTGCTTTACAGACCCTCGGGGGGGTCAGTGCCAGGACTGAGCTGTGTTTTGGGGCTCCCCCCGCCCCCAGCCTCAGCTCCCGCTGCCCTTTCGCCTTCCCAACAACGCTGCCTCCCGGGAGCGTCTCCCCTGGCTGGCGCAATCCCCGTGTTCCCGATGATTCCATGCCCAAAGCCCTTTGCTTTTTATGGGCAGGAGCAGCATGTTTGGAGCTTCCCAGGCTGTAAGATCATCCGCAGGCCAGCGCCGGAGCACTCCTGCTGTGGGCCAGGCTGGCCGGGCTATTTGGGGGGTGCTGAGTTCACGGGGCCGTGACAGGATGTTCCCTCGGGCGCTGCGAGGGGCCGGGAGCTGGGAGCCAGCACAGAGGAGTTCTCTGGGCTCGGGTGACCCAGGGCAGCCCGGCAATGAGCACTGAAGGCTGCCGGGCAGCGGGGAGCAGCCTGGCTCTCTGGGACAGGCACGTGGACACAAACAGCACCCGGGCACAGGGATCGAATCCAGGACATCCTTCAGCAAAGGCACCGTGCCAGGACAGCCACACGCAGGGTCAGGAGCCCTGCAGGACACTGGGGACACACGACTGTCCCTGGGTACACACGACTGTCCCTTCCACCCTTGCTGGGTGCAGGCCCGGCCTGACCACTGCTCCCGTGACCTTCCTCTGGGGAAACAAACTGGGGAGGGAGGGAGGGGCAAAATTGATGGGAGGTTTCTCATTGCATTGATTTAGTTGGCAAAACACTTTAATGACTGAAGTGGGTTTAATTAAATTCAGCTGCTCCGGAACGAGGAATTCCCCAGTACAGTTTCTCCTTTTTGGCTCAAGCTCTCTCTGTCAAAGGCCCGTTAAATGGAGAGAGCTGGGAAAACTCAACGCCCAGAATGAGGCGAGGCCGATGGTGTCATCTTTGACCTCCATCCGTCATCCTGCAGCGGGAGAGGAGGGCGGAGAAAAGCCGCGGAGCCCTCCCTGGCGGCGCCCCGGGGCTGGAGCTGCCGCCGCCCCCGCCCCCGCAGCCCCGTCCCGGGAGCTCCAGCTCGGGCCGTGGATCCACCGGGAGTGTGTGTGGCTCGGGCAAACCCACGGGGTTTTGTGGTGCAAAGCGGGGAGCGGGAGGTCAGGGCTGCCGGCTCAGTACGAACAAAAAACCTCTTTTCTTCCTCAAAACACATCCGAGCGTGCCCGGAGCCGCCCCGCCCGGGCCGACACCTGCCGGGGGGCAGCGGCGATGTCCCGGGGCTGGCAGGACAATGCTGGGTGACCCAAGCCGTGCCGGGACAAGGACATTTCTGGGCTGGCTCTGCCGCCGGCCGGGCTGGCAGCGGCCCCGCATTGCTGCTCCCTGAGATCACGGCTCCCAGCGCCCGGCCCGGCCCGGCCCGGCCCGGCCCGGCCCGGCCACACGCGGCCGTTCGCCTGTGCGGGCTCGGTGCGGCTGCAGCGGGCCGGCAGCGCTGTGCCCGTGGGACGGGACCGGACGGGCCGGGGGCAGCGCGGTCCCCAGCCCGGCCCGGGGCGGCTCAGCCGAGGGCTGGCCCGGAGCGGAGGGAGGAGGGGGTGTGGGGCCGGGATTCAGCCGGCTGCAGCGGGAGGGGAGCCAGGAGCTGAGCGCGGTCTCCTTGGTTCTTCCCTAAATAGCCGGCGGCGGGCAGGAGGATTAGCCGGGGCATTCCTCGGCCCATCCGTCCTCCCGCAGCCGCCTCGCTCCTGAGCTCCCTGGCCTTGGGATTCCTCCTGCTCCCTCACGCCGCCCTTCCCAACCCCCGCGGGGGCACCCACAGCCACCCGAGCCCCAAGGGGTTTGTTCCGCCTGCGTTTGGCACCCGCGGTTGGGCTTTTCCCGGTGACGCCGCTGCCCCGCTGGTGGAGCCTGAGGCCGTTCAGAGCCATTGCCCGTCCCGAACGGTCACGGCGGTGCCAGCCCGGGGACGGTGCCCGGGCAGCACCGTGTGGGGCCA